AAGGCCAGCATCTGCTAGGAGACCTGGCACAATGACTAAGTGCTCTAACATGAAGTAGGATATTACACAGGCTGAAGGGACAGATAGGACACTGAAGAGATCAACGGAGGGAGAAAATGCTTTGGCTTGAGGGGCTAAGAGAAGGCTCTGTGGAGAAGGTGGCATTTGAGCCAGCCCTGGAGGAGCAGGCTTCAGTACCTGAGGCACCAAGGAGGGAGGTGCCAATCTCAGAATGAAGAGAGAGGGTGGCTATGTAGCAGGCAGGACAGTATTCCCCTAAAGTGCTCCATGGAATACACTCATGGACAATCATATTTGGGAGACCATGGATTGAACACAATTGAACATGTAACTGCGGGCCTTGAAGCTTTCACTAGACTAAAGAAACAGAAGTAATAAAAATTCAATTTGGAATCAAAGATTAACTTTTGGAGGAAAAAAACCCTCAACCTTAGTAGAAATTAAATTCTATTAAATTAAATTATATTCTATTAAATAGTTGCTCTATTAACTTAGGCAAGATATTTAACTTTCATGAACTTGTTTCCTTCTTTAAAATGGAAGAAGTGACAGTCCCCACCTCATACAGCTGTTTTAAGAATACAGTGAAAACTGTGAGAGCCAGAATTTGACTGGACTGCCTTGGTTTTTTTGGGTCTTGCAAGTTTTCCGCCCTTGACAGGGTGCAGTCTTTGCATCTTTCTGTTTTTGTTTTATTGGAAAATATTTGAGTTGCCCTTCTCTGATAGATTTGTGCTTTACATAGGTTCTGGCTTTCACAGGTTTTACTCTAAAAAGTTACTCATTCAGTGCTGAAATAATTATATTAGTGATGCTGACATGTCTATTATTTCTACTAGTATTCAATGTGCATCATGAATATAAAAAAGAGCAATGTAATATGCAACACTTGTTAAATGGTTTGGTGGGTTTTCATCAGCTATTCTTTGAAAATGCTGGCCAGCATGTCATGCCCAGCCTCACATGCAATAGGGGCTCACTCTGTCCTTGTTGGGGGAATAGGGCCAAGAACTGTTCTCAGCAAAGAGCAAGTCGCAGCACAGCAAGGGATGCTCTGGGCAAGGTGTTTTTCATTATTTCTTTGGGCAGCAAGCCTCTGAGGTCTGAGAGGAGTGACTTCATCTTTTGCTAGAAGAATGAGGGATTAAGAGTATACTGGTCAGCTTTGGGGAAACTACACAAAGAGCTTATTTTGGTGGTAGTGTTCGAAGTGACTCTTTAACAATGAGCTCACGCCTGCTGCCAGGCGCCAGCCATCAGCTTCAGCCTTCTTGTTGGAGACACACACACGGCCCATCCCCACCAGCCAGGCCAATGGACATGTGATGTTCGTGTGCAGGGGGGATCCCAGAGGACCTGCTCCACAGGTGATGTCCTCCTCTCCAAGAGGGGACAATGAGGCCAAAAATGGTGGCAGCTGACCCACTACCCAGGGCTAATCAGAGGCAGGGAGAACCAAAGAGACACTCAGGCCTTTTGTTTTAACTTTGTCTTTTTTTTGGCAGGACTTTTAACTGAATCTCAAAACGTAGTTTTTGCTTTTTGTTTGTATTGTTGTTAGGTGTCATCAAACAAATGTTTGACTCATAGCAATCCCATGTGACAGAGTAGCCTCATAGGGATTCCTAAATTGTAATCTTTACTGGAGCAGATCGCCAGGTCTTTATTCACCTAAAGCAGCTGGGTGGGTTCGAATCGCCAACCTTTTAGATGACAGTGGAGCTTAACCATTGCACCACCAGGGCTCCTTTTTTTTTTTGCCCCTGTGGAGGTAATTATTGCATACCTTTACCTAATCTAACCTACCAGCCACTCCTGGGAAGGAAGGTTGGGCAATCTACTTCCATAGTGATATTGCCTCGGAAACCTAAGGAGGGGTCGCTATGAGTCAGGTCCAACTGGACAACAAATAACAACAACATTATCTGATCTCACCTGTCATAAATCACATACTAATCTCACCAATGATTTCTACAAATGAGTAAATGTGTCATAAATCCCTCACCCTCTCACCATCATCCCCTGTGTAATAATGCAGAGATCCTGTTAAACTTCTCCAGTCCCCCACTAGTTTGTGTGTGAAGAGGTTCGCAACAGAAGTGGAGTTCACTGGGGAATTGAACAGATCTAGAATATGACATATGCATGGTACCATGCCCAAAATACTATCTGTCCACCTGAGTTTAAGCATGAAGAGTCTACTTGGAATTTGAGAAGGAAACGAGGCCATTGAAAAAAAATACATGGAGGGGAGAACCTCCCTGGAGTCTACAGCACGTAGGAAAGACTCAAGCATCAGTGAAGTTTTCAAACTTTAGATTAGGGGTTGAAGAAGCAAACTTCTGCGGTAAGAAAGACCAGAAATTAGAAAATGTATATACACATCCAAACAGGTACATGTATGTATATATACAATATCTGTATATACACAAACATATGTATATATGTATGTATGTATGCATACACACACACATATAAGTAGCTCAACTGTTAGAAAAGTACATGGGCCAGAGATTCTACATTCAATTGTTATTATTTCATTTTATTTTAACCAGTAAACCTGGAAGTGGTTGGAATAGAAGCATAGTTAATTCTGGAATTTTGTCAAAGCTCACAAAAGCTTCCAGGACTCTACATGGCTTCCCCCAACCCCCAAGAAAACACGGCTGCCTAATTCCTCCTACACTAAAAATATAACCAGAGGCTATTCACAAGGATTGCACATTTTATCTATCATGTTCACTTGAGGCAACAGGTCCAATGACAGTGGAATAATTCCAATCTTGATTTGCCCCCACAACCCACCTCAACCAGATTTGGCATGTACATTTTACCAAAACCAATCAGCCTTCCCTGCCTCTGATCCTGAGAGGCCCCTGTTACCCACAGTTTTCCCAGCCCCCATCTTCCACCCTGTCTCCTGAGAGTCACAGTTCATGTTCATTCAGCACAAAAATAGGGAAAAAACCCAACTATTTTCCAATATGGTCCCTAGCACATGGAAGACACAGGAGGAATACTTGCGCACTGACAACTGAAGGTCTAGGTGGGAGGCCTGAGGTTTGTGAGAGAAAGCGAACCCTGGTCTCAAGTGCTTTAATACTAAAAGGTATAGATTAGGATAAGAGAAGGAAAGACAAAAGGAAAAAGAAAACAAAAAAGACAGGCAAGGAAAAAAGCTTAAATTTTCACTAAATTGAGCAGATCCACAACTTAGAAGAAAGGTTTGGATTCCATGTGGCCAAGGTGCCCCCTCACCACCACCACCACCACCACCAGTTAGGATGTCTGTGTTTCGGCACACAGGCAGCCCAGATTTGGTCTGCTCCAGAAAGTAAATTAGCAGTCATTTGGTTTGGTTGAGAGTAGTTCCATAGGGCTATGCTTTTAATCTCTGATTAGACTTCTGTTTGAGAGACTGTCAAAATAGAGACTTCCTTTGATGTGATTAAGTTCAAGGCAGTATCACTGAATATCCTGTGTGGTATATGGGAACAGAGAGAAATGGTCTTATTTTTAAGGACCATGAGCCATGGAGGAGTCCCCAGTTGGAGCAAATGGATAAGTGCTTGAATACTAGCTAAAAGGTTTGTGGTTTGAACCTACCGAGAGGCATCTAAGAAGAAAGGACTGGAGATATGCTTCCAAAACATCATAATCTTAAAATCCATAGGCAACATATGAGGTTGCCATGAGTCAGAATTCACTCAATGGCAACTAACAACAACAAACCATAGAGAATGGGAATGGGCATGAGACAAAATTTACACGTGAGTAAGAGCCCTCACTTTGAAATTATTTGATGTTGGCAGAAATGTATTATTCTACTGGCTTGGATGATGGACAGTGGGCCTGAATAGGCCAATAAAAGAAGAAAATAGTATAGTTTGTCTCTCAAAAGAGCCACTATATTGGCTACCAATATAATTTGAGACTTTTTTTTTTAAACTGACGTCTAGGTGGTCCCAAATCATATAAACATACTAAACTCACTGATAGGATGATAACTCTCTAAACATTGTTATGCTGTTGTTATGTGCCGTCAAGTCGGACCGACTCATAGTGACCCCTCCTTGGGTTTCTGAGGCGGTATCACTACGGAAGTAGATTGCCCCATCTTCCTTCCAAGGAGTGGCTGGTGGGTTTGAACGGCCAGCCTTCTGGTTAGCAGTCAAGTTGGAAAGAGAAGTCTTCCTTGACTCGAGGAAGAATAAATTATTGACTTGAACCTCCTACCTTAGAGGAACCAAGATTAGGATGCATTTGCAAACAAAATGTCCATTTCATTTCTTAATGGCAGGGTGTATATTGTCAACTCTGAATCTAGTTTTACATTTGGTTCTATATGGAATGCCCTAGGTAATTAAAGTATGTCTTATGGCTAATAAAAATGAAGTTAAAAAGTTAAAACCAAAACAATGACAGGGAATAACATGTGTGTACAATATGTTACTAACACACTGATAATTTTCAAAAGTGACTGTACAAAAAGTACTATAAATCTTTCAAAATGCAGTGATTTATTAAGCGAAAAGTCTGAATGGCTTGTGCAATTAAATTCAGCTTTCAAGTAGTTGTGTCATGGGCAGATCTTTTGTTCTCCTAGGTTAAATTTAGCATCTTGCATTTTGGTTTTTCCACAGACCCATTTTTTATCATCTTACAGTCAGTTTTCTGAACTTATCAGCTGAAGTGCACTAGGGAGCTATCATGATGATTTTTTTTTCTTACTGATTTTATAATCCGAGAATACAATTTACCAAATTATGCAATAGTGATTTATTTCCATCTTCTTTGGTTTTTTTCCCCACCTATACAGCCTACTCATAAAATAAACCATCCCTGCATGGAATGAAATGGGGGGGAAAATGTGGTGGCCAGAGGAAAACCATTTCAGAAATGTGTTTGTTAAACAAGTGCAAGCAATAAATTGAGCTTAGGAGGGAGAGGCGGTTAGAAGAAAAACTAAAAGTACTGACCTGAGAGTCAAGCTGGTTGGAGCAAGGGTGAAAGCAGCAATTTGAAGGATAAGCAGAAAGGAAAAGGAATAGCAAAAGAGAATAAAAGGAAGGAAAAGCATTAGTTTTAGACATATAGCCAACAGATGTTATATTAGCAGGTTTTATAACCAAACAAAGGACAATAAAGCAAACTTTTATCTGATATCACCCCAAAAAAGCCCTTGGCACACACTATAGGCTGCTGTATTAAATATTATACATACGAAACCAGTATCTGCTCTCATGCACATTATCGCAACAAGCACTGACATGAACCAGAGGTGTGTTCCAGCAGTCTAATGGCAGAATTTGACCTTTCCTGGAGGAATATTTATAGAGAAAGCCCCTATCTTTGTGCATATAAAGTTTTATTGTTTAATAAACTGCAATGAAAATTACTAAGGTATTAGATCTGGCAGTAAGCACTGATGTAAGATAGATTTTATTTGAACCAGGAAGTTGGGTGGTGATATCCTATGGTATATTTTCCCTTTATCCCTGAAAACCAGAAAGAGTTGAGCAATTTGGATTTTGGTTCAAAGGTTTCCATTTGAGATGCTCACAGAGCCCTGGACCTAGTGATGATCAAAGACACTGGGAGGGGGCTTTTTGGTGAGGTGCAGTCTGTCCATCAGCCTCGCAAGTGAGGACAGAGTCACTTCCAAACCTGAGAGTAATTTTTTTCAGTTGTGAAAATGAGGTTCCTACATCACATCACTGAAAATATCCAGATGCTTGATAACTTCTATGCACACACACACAGCACAAACACACACGCACACGCACACAGCTACCATGCACTTCCAATCAATCAATACAATGAAGTTTCTAATATCGAGCAAATACAAAGAAATTAAATCAGTAGATGAACAGATTAATGAATAAAGAAAAATAAAGTCATGATCATCTTCCAGCTGCCACAGGAATGCATAGTACACATTCAGTCAGGGTGCTAAATTACAAAATGGCCTTTGAAAAATTCAAGAGGTTAAACAAGTACCTTTATCAGCTATATGCTAAGTGCGGCCTTCACACTTCATGCTATTATGAAGTAGTTTTAAGCATTTCACGCAGGAGGGAAAAACAGAAGCAAGTTTTGTCAGAATTAAGCTTAAACTGGGACATTTCAAATGAAAGAGTGTTGATTATAATGATAAAAATCAAGGCGAAAACCCAAGGTTAAACACACAGTGGAAGTTGATTTGCTATCCCTTCCCGCAGATGAACGCAAACTGATCAAGACGAGTTAGGTGAGGCCACAGCCATTTTGGGGACTCTGTGGTAACATGGCCCCAGCTGCTGTTTCAAATCCTTCTAGATCAGACGTAATTAAACCAAGGTCCATGCCGAGTTTTAAGAAACCCTAAACTGAAATAGCAAGCAAACATTTAATGTAAAGTTGCTTTATTCAAGGGTTTCCAGTTTTTATCAAATTCCCAAAGAGCTTCCTGATGTCCACGACCTTCCTCAAAAAGTTGCTAGGGATAGTGTAAAACCATCTGCCACTTGTCTGAGATAAATTCCTTCAACTGCATTAACACACACAAGTGGAAATTACTTAGCAAGAAGAGCTTATATTAAAACAAATAGAACTGGTATCAAGTTTCCTCTATGTACCATGAAATTTATAAAACATACATCAGAATTTTAAAAAAAGAAAAAAGTGTAAGTTTGCATTTGGAAAAGAGTTCTGAAGGCATCAATGAAATTATGTCAGCATATTATTGAACAAATTCAGAAGGAAAAACAATATTCTGTTTCTCAGTCCTAGATAAGTAAGGTACTTTTCAGCATCTAAAAGGATTTCTCAGTGTCCACATGTCTAGTGGTATTAATTGCTGGTCTAGATAATTAAGTGGTACATTCTTTTCCATTGTGATGTTATGTCTTATGGGTAGAATCCCCCCAGGGACCCACCCTCCACTCCACGAGGGGAGGAGTGTAACTGAAGGCTCCATTTGGTATACTGTCCTCCGGACAAACACCAACGAAACCTCTAACATGTTTAAGATAATTATACAAAAGGTCATCTGACCGATTCCTTCCCACGCATGAGAAGAGAGAAATCTGGTGCCAGCAGGCATTGCTTAACAGACTCTACTATCCCCTACCGAAGTATTAATTCTGAAATTCTAAATAAAACTCAGAGACCATGATGGGCACTGGCACAGAAGCACTACATATTTCACTGCCTCAAATGTTCAATTACTATGGATTGAAGTAATCTCACTAGGATTCTAACATATTTCTATTAAGCTTTAAACACTACGGGTTCTTCATCGACTGGCACTGTTGAACACTGTCATGTGCACTTGATTGTACAGTATATGTGATATCTAGCTTTGATGACCAGATGAAGACATTAGTGTGATTTGAACCAACTTCCTTGGGCTGGCTTAAGAACCCCCACCCACCCTGTGGCCACCGCCCCCTAGAGAAACCTTGGGTCCAAGTCAGAAGCTCCCAGCTCGATCATCAGCATTAAGTGAAAGAGTTTATAAGCAGAACTGCACATGTGGACCACACTGGGGCAATATGTATTTCGGAAAGCAGAATATTTAATGGCTGGTGAAAAACATCATTCACATGGAATTTAAGAGGCAAATGCATTCACGTAAGTGCCAGCCATGTGCTATTTGGAATGTATACATTGTGAAGAGGATAAAAATGGGGGAGATTAACAGAATAGAAAGCTACTCCTGATCCCTTTCCTCCCCAAAAAAGCCCTCTTAGAGAAAAACATACCAGTGTCTATATCATTTGAGTTATTCCTAGTACCTTTTGTTTCATATGACTGGCAGCCTGGAATATTTTAGAACACTAGCTGCTTGAAAAAGCAGGCTTTTCAATCTGGTAGGTCACATTACAGACCAGAGACCACAAATTTATTTCAAGTTCAATCTTTTGGTTTTCAAAATCACCAATTTAATTGCAAACACTCCTCCACAACTCCAAAATGGAGATATATGTCACATTGCTAAGAGATCTTCAGTTCCCAACATTATGAGGTATGAATTTTGTAGTTTAAGCCAGCAAAAGGAGATATTGCCCAATTTGGAAAAAGGCTGCCTGACAATTCAAGGAAGATGTTAAGGTCAGAATCCACATACAGGCCAGCAAATATTAATGATTCAAAAACAAAGGCCAAGGCGGAGCCCTCGTTTTCCCAAGAGACTTCCCCTCTTGATTGCCACTCCCATATCCTCTGGGCCTGGGCCTCAGACATTACCCAGACTGTGTTTGCCTGCTGGACCCAAAAGCCAGGCAGGCAGAGAACTGGACTGAGTCAAGATCCACCACACGTTTTATAAATTACAGTGCTTGGGAGGCATCAGCTTTAAGAAGAGGCAGAGGCAGAGATAAAGAAAATGTGCAGAAAGTACATAAAGATAAATGCCTGTAAAATCACTGTTGGTTTAATGCATTCCATATTGAAGAAATAAAAATGTGACTCTTCTTCATGATTAATGGCCATAGTGTCCAGCTAAGGCCAGTTTGTCCCACTAGACAATTATACTATTTATACGCAAGTATTTATAGTGGGTGATCCTGATTTTTAATCAGTGGTGCTAAGGTTCTGGTTTAATGTGAGAAAATACCTTCTCAAGGTGGGCAACATCACTTTCCCTCCCGAGAGCTAATAAAGACGAAGCAGGTCTCTCATGGCCCAGCATGATGCCGGTTCGGTGAGGGCTTTGCGGCCTCAGGATTGATTAGCGTGACTGCACTAGCTTCTTCTTCTGGCCCACTGAGGGGAGGCATTACTCTCAATGGCCCATGTGGGCAAGATACAGGTTCAGCTGTCAGACCTGGGTTCAAATCCTGACTTTGACTCTTATCAGCTCTGCAACCTTGAGAAAGTTACTTAATTTGTACATGCCATTGTTTTCTCATTGATAAAATGGGGATAATGATAGGTTTTGTGCAATAGAGTTATAAGATCAAAAAGTACACAGTAGTATAAGTCAAGTACTCAGCACAGTATCTGGCACATTGTCAGTACAGGTTATATATAACCTATTATTATGAAGGGAGCTCTGGTGGCGTAGTGCCTAAAGCATTTGACTGCTAACCAGAAGGCTGGAGGCTCAAACCCACCAGCCACTCCTTAGAAGGAAGGTTGGGCAATCTACTTCTGTAGTGATACCACCTCAGAAACCCAAGGAGGGGTCACTATGAGTCAGATCAGACTTGAGGGCAGTGAGTTTGGTTTTTGTTTTGTATTATTATGAGAATGGAGACCCTGGGTGGCAGTTAAGTGCTCATGTTCTAACCAAAAGGTTGGCAGTTCAAATCTACACAGGGCCAACCCAGAAGAAAGGCCTGGTAATCCACTAGTGAAAAATCAGTCACTGAAAACCCTATGGTGCATAGTTCTACTCTAATACATACAGGGTAGGCATGAGTCAGGCTCAGTCTGACAACAATTGGTTTATTTTTTTTTGGTTATTATATAACCGATTTTTTTTGGTTATTTATATAACCAATTATTATTATACTAATACTATAATTATTAGTATTAGTATCATCAGTTATTATCCAGGGCAGTCCCTACATGGCTTACTGCTTCTCAGAGCAATGGACCTGGAATCAGGCAACTCCTATTACAGTTTTGTCTTGTTTTAATCATGGGATCGATCCCAAGAAGCCCATTCAACTCATCAGGAGGTGTCTCAACAATAATACACATCTGCCCTGTGATCTTCTTATACTAGTTTTTTAGAAAAATTTTAGTCCTGAAACACAGTTTGAAAGTAGCCACATAGATAGATCTAAAATTAGCAATGTTGCTAGCTTTTAAGAACCAGAAGACGGAACATTCCCACATTTTAATATGAGCCTTTTAAAATTCTAAATGATACAACTATCTCAGGGAAAAAAATGTCTCTGACTTAATTGCTAAAGTTGGTCACACTGGAAAAAAAAAATCAAATTATCAATCTAATTCTAAGGTTTTTAAAAGGAATATCAATTGATTTGAGGAACGAACCTATCAGTTTAACACAGCACCAATCAATAGTGACAATTATTTGTTTTAGCATTCAACTATTCATAACAATATAACCATCCTACTTTACACTGGGATTTGGTGTTTGCAAAGCCTGACACATTTTAATAGGTTCTTAGAGATTCACTTCTGACAAGATTCGAGGTCATGCTGCTCACAGAAAGCAGAGGCAAAATTTGAACCAAGGTCTTTCTGTCACTAAAGCCCATGATCCTTTCCTAAGACCATAGAAAACTAGTCTGCATATGTTTCCAAGTCTGTTCGGGCCTCACAAGTGTCTTGAACTGAGCTGGCATGCTTTCACTGATTTAGTCAAAATTTGCTGATTTCTTCCACATGGACTGAATCTAGCAAAGACAAATTCTGCCTTATTGCTGAACCAATAAGGAATCCTCAGAGGTTACAGAGTTATGTAAGCTTATTCAGAAAGTTCTCTTCTTATATCAAGTATAGGACAAGGCATTGATAGAAAGCTTATTTTTAGAGTTTATGCTATCCATAAACACAATATGGACATGATTTAATTGGAAAGTTAAATACTCTGAACCTTGATACAACCCTCTTCGTTTTTAGACAAAATGTACTGTTTCAGGTAGGCCTGCTTCAAGGCCTATTCAAACATATTTATCTACCAAACGCTCTAAGGATCTCTTAAAAGATTAATTCCAAGGATGAATTTTTTTGTGGTGTGCCAAAAGAAACCCAAAGGATATGAGCTCCCTTCTTTATTCTGAATGGAGAATTTCCAACTCTATTCTTCCATACTGTTTGCTCAAGACAAACCTAAACCACCAAATATATGTCTTTGATGTGAAAGAACTGAGGTTTTAAGGAGTCAAAACCCAATTTCTTATATGCTTTGCTGGTACAAATGCTAGATCACAGAAATCACTCAAGGAAGTTTTTCTTAAATACATATGTTTAATAAAATGTAATTTTCTTAAACACTGAAGAGGTACATAAGCCCTCAAAAGATAAGCCAACTGCCTTCTGAACGTCCCACAGAAACACAACATCATTGTGGACAGGCCATTTTCTCCTTATGTAACTTGTGTCAAACTTGAAATGCGAATGTGTTTTCCAAAACCACTGTGATCTGAGAGGGGCAACCAGTCAATTATTCACTCACAGTTGACAATTCACAACACAACTGTAAAATTACCTTTCGAGTTCTGCAATCTTCTTGTCCTTGTCATTCTTTTCATTCTCTACTTCCTTGAGGATCTCCAGCAGCCGGTCAACTTCTGCTTGGGCTTTGCCACACTCATCACGGTAGTAAGATGCTTCTTTATCAAGCTGTTTTATTCTGTCTGCAAACTCGGGGTTCATCCTGGAGTCATCTTCAATATTATGAGCCTTCAACATCACATGTTTAAAGAATATAGTTAAGACAACAGTTTGGAGCAATAGACAGTCACCAATGGCCCAGCAATTCATTTTGGAGAAAAAAAAGAAACAATAACAATAATCAAGAATTATGGGTATACTGTCAGTTAAAACACAAAAGAGAAAAACCCTACATTTCAGCTACCTTAGAACAATGTGGATTTTAAATTATATTGTAGTTTTACAGTGGAGTTTCTTTTATGGTTCATATGTAGTTCCATTAGCTGTTGCTATTTATACTCTTCTTTTTCTACCAAAAAGTGAGGGGTGGGGAAAGTAGAGACTGTGATTTCTTTATTTCTGGTCATCTGACAAGCAGACCTAAGATAATTTAACTCCTCCAAGTGAAGGAGATGAGTCATACCAAATGCTTCCATTTCCAATGCAGAGAAACTGAGACAAGATGACATTCAATTATGTTCCAAGAACCATCAAGGGTATATGCAGAGTCAGCCAATGTATGGGAGATAATTGAACACTTTATCCCACCGAGGCATTACAGCAGCAGATGTAGTTTAAAAGAAGAACTGGAAGTGAAGAAGGGCTTTTCAGCTAACAGTTATACCCATAAATTCTTGTTGTCTTGATTAAACTTAACCTGAACTAGGAGGAAGGTGAGCTAATTCATGAACAAGCACACAGACGAGAATCTGCAAACACATGCATGTGGGGGGTCAGGTTACACACAAGAACAGACACAACAGGCAACAACACGCCAACAATATTGCAGAATAATTTGCAGCCAAAGTATTTGTGGTTATGTGCATTGTGTGTGAGTGTGTTATGGCTTTTTTTTTTTTTTTTTTCCCCAAATAAACTTTTGGCTGAAATATTCCCAGACAGATGGAAAGAACACTGCACTGCAATGTTTTGCCTACCCCTTGTTTCCCATTATTCCTAATTGATTTCTTCAAAGAGGAGGCAGGGAAAAAACAAGTAGTTTAACAACAGTGCACATTCAACATAGAAAGTTCAGAGAAGTCATCTATGTACATATCTCCAAAATTCACATGTGAAATGGTAGCAATTTATTAGGACTTTAAGTTGTTCTGCTGTCTTACTCTGTAGAACAGATGTTCATTGTGTCTTTATTAACTTTTTAAAAAAATTTCAGGGAAAAAACAAGGCAAGCAAGCTACAGCTACTGTGGGGTCAAATGAATCATGCATGGTTAGAAAAAATTAATACTAATACTACTGTTAGAAAGTTGACAATCTTTGCAATGATATAGTAGAAAAAAATTCAAAAATTAGTATAAATAAAAATAAATTTCTTAATTTATAACAAAATGATCATTTTAAAAAATAATATTTTTGCATGTAACATATTATTTAAGCATGAGGATAGATGTGGGATAATTTGCTTTCCTGTTCTTTAAGATTTCCTCGTTCAATAAATAAACTCAACTATTAAAAAAAAACATTGAAAAAAATATATGACTTCAACATACTATCAGGTACTAGTTTATTATTGCCTTTCACCAACATTTCTCAGACACTTATTTTTATTTATTTAGTATTCAGCCTTCTTCTTGTTGTTGTTGTTATGTGCCGTCGCGTCGGCCCCGACTCATAGCGACCCCTCCTTGGGTTTCCGAGGCAGTATCACTACGGAAGTAGGATTGCCCAACCTTCCTTCCGAGGAGTGGCTGGTGGGTTTGAACCGCCAGCCATCTGGTTAGCAGGCAAGTGTCTTAGCCACTATGCTACCAGAGCTCCCAGCCTTGGCTTCATTAAAATCCATTATTGAGCTTTTTCAGTATAATTAAAAATAATTTGAAAGACAACTGTGGGCTAATATGGCTTTAGACTTTTATTTATCTGATGGTTTAATTTTAAATTTAAAGGAATGAATATTTAAATTCCCTAATCTCAACTTTAAAAATATAGGATATTCTATTTTAAAAGAATATTTTACTTACTTCTATTTGTGATAATAAGAATCAACTCTCATTATTCTTGCAACAGAAAAGCATTTAAAAATATAAAGTTTTTAAAGTGCTAAAAAAAAAATTTTCCATGTTAACTTCTCTTCCATTTTTCTAAAATATTACCATTATTTTAGGACACTTAAAAACCTTTTCATGACATTTCTTAAACTACCCAATCAGTGGTATTAAGATCTTTAAAAATGAATTAATGAACTAAGTAGTGTATCCAGAGATGGGGCTTATTATCAGCTAATAAGTTAACAAAGTTATTTAATCTTTATCGACAAGACACTACATAGTCCTTAAAGAAGCTGCTCTTTTTAGGTTCACAGGGAGAGTTGAGTCTGCTGGTGAGATACAGATACATGAGCACGGTCCTTATTTTAGCTCATGGAAGAGAAGAGGATAACCCTCTGGCCAGCATTTGATGTTACATGAAATGACATAGGCTGGTGGTCTTTACAACCCAATGAGAAAATATGGTGAGTTGGACTCATAGCGTGTTTAGAGGCACAGAAAGCCCAGGAAAAAAAATACCTGGTCCTAGACTCTACCATTGCTGACTTCATCCTGATGCTGAAGCTAGGTCATGTTATCAAAATAAAGACAACAGTACAAGTTACAGCTGGCCTGGTACTTGTTAGATAATATTTACAAGTACTAATGATTATTCCTTTCAAAAGGAATAGACAGCCTCAAAAATACCTTTGAGTTCAATGTATCTGTTTCTAGTTCTGTATAAATATCTACTTAGTTCCAGGTAAAAAGAATTCATGTCAAGCTACCTTCAATATTGATGCCAGATTTCTTGGAAGAATTATTAGATAAAGGTATAAATAGGTATGCACGCATGCATGCACTGCCTTCAAGTCCAATCTGACTCATAGTGACCTCTCCTTGGGTTTCCAAGGTGATATCACTACGGAAGTAGATTGCCCAACCTTCCTTCCATAGTGATATCACCTCGGAAACCCAAGGAGAGGCCAGCCTTCTGGTTAGCAGTCAAATGCCTTAGGCACTACACCACCAAAGCTCCCTATAAATAGGAGTGATGAAAATTTTTTCTAAGTCAACAGAAAGCTTTAAGGAGGAGTCATGTAGAGATGGGAGAGTGACAGCTATTTCTTGGGTCATAACTGACATCCATGTGCAGTTTCAAGCAATGATAGCATTTCACACGATTCAGATGACTGGTGAGTACCTCACCTATGCTGAGCAGTGGGGGTAAAAGACTCCATGGAATTTAATTTTTTAAAAAAAAGAAAACCCTACAGATAACCAGCTCTATTCAGCCTGAATCACTCCTCCTCAGAGGATGAGCTAAAACTGTATGACCCACACTCAAGGAATGGGACTTTACCAATAAAGGAGGAAATTAAGCTTATAAAGCCAACATTCCCTTGATAATCGTACTGCCAGAGCCTCCTCTAAAAATGGAGAGACATAAGTTCTTTATTGTATTTAGACAGTATTCTTGCCTTTTCAAATTATAACATGGGTTCTTTAATCTGGACTGATAGCTCCTGACAGTAGATGATGGATTTGGACCTAGTTTACATCAGACACTGCATAAAACATATGAATTTATTTGAAATTTTATCTCAACAAATCTCTATGACAATCTGACCCATTCATGACTTAAACCGAAAATGTCCAGTAATTATTTACCCTCAGGAATCTGTTGCTTGAAATTAACTCCCTCAAAATTTTGGGAATCACTTGCCATTCCACTCTTATAGGGCACACCAACTTTCTTCCTCTATTTAGATTAGTCAAGAATCTAGCTCTTGATGATGCAAATAGGTGGGGTTTTCTTATAATGGTTTCTGAACTCATCATAAATGTAGACAAGAACATTGTCCACTTCAAAGACACGTAGAGATTTATTTTTTCAAATTAAAGAGGTCAGTTTTATTGAGGTATCTGGTTCTGCCTCAAAATATTTCCTGCAGCTTTTAGAGAAACCCTTCAGCATCTTTTAAATGTACAGAAAACTGGAAAAAATGGAATTTAAGAAATGTCTGTACTACACAAGAGATCAACAAGTTTTGAGGGTCTCCCAATTACATTTCTTACATTTCCATATGTAAGAAAATTTCCCCACAAATGGGAATAATAACAAAAAAAAAAGTTTGCAGGCTCACTGATGTGGGCAACCTTAGGCATTTTGATGTGAACTGACTTTGAAATCCTTCATCAAGCACAAAACAAGAATCTGATCATGACCTGGGATAAATAATACCTCATAGTTACTAGTGGGTATTTTAATGAAAAATTTTAGAACTATTTCAGGAAGTAAAGGAAAATTTTATAGTAATGCTATGCCTAGATCAAAGTGAGGAAGCAACAAGTAGCTAAAGCCAAAGCAGAGGTCGAAAGGGAGGCAAATCACAAATCCTATTTATTTAAACTTTTCTTGGCAAGGTTAGTCATTGATTACTTTTAATAAAATTCTAGTCTATCATTCCAGGTGCCTAGAAAGGAAAGCATTACTTTGGTCCAGAAACCTGTTATGAAACAAGGTGGGCAAAATTCAATTATAATACTATATAACATTCCCTCTTTGAAACAGGCCCTACAAATTTTAATGAAAACTCACTCCTCTCAAAATAAACAAATGGTTCATCATGACCATAAAGTATAAGCAGAATGCTAATTAATCAGTCTGATGATTTTTCTTTCCTGCTGCTTGTGGGTTTTAGCAGTCATTTGCTAAATTTGTACACTAGAAAAATATGATTCTCAATTGTACTCCTTTGGGAGTTTAGTGTCCATAGACAGTGCTTTAACTTTTCTTTCATATATTAATAGCAGAACAAGGTACATAAACTATTTTTAAAATTACGTTTGCTTTCTATTTTCTAAAAGAAGCTCCAATCTTCACATAATCCTGAGTATGAATAAAATATTACTTTATGAAATAAAGCTTTTAAGGATGATGACAGATATAAAATGTGAATTTCATTTTCAATCCAATAAGTTAATCCCAAACAGAATAGCTGAACATAAATATTACATGTAGAAATTCATAATGATATTT